GAAAATAAATATACACTTTAGGACTCGGGATAAAGGGATCAATAACAATTTAAAATTTACAGTTTTATGATTTAAAGTCTCACACACAACCCGTCGAAAGGGGAGGGGGGCCGGCTGCTTCCAAATAGAGCATATTTCATTTATAATGTTGTAAATCCAAGCCCAGGGAGTGTTCGCCCAGGGCGCCAAACAGGCTAGGACCGCCACTGGGTTCCTAGGATATTTAAAAGTAGAATCAGAGGCAGAGCCTCCTGCTTCCAGGCTCCTCCTCTCCAGCTTCTAACTTGGATTCAGCAGACAGACACCCTTTCTATTTTTACGTTTAGGTTTAAAACAGGGGTGTCAAACTCAATTGCATAGAGGGCCAAAACTCAAGGCACACTTTATGTTGCAGGCCAAACAAGATAAACATTTTTTAAACACGCTAAAACAATGTTTTTTTAAACATAAATATGAATAAAAACAGACAGGAATATTATTCCAGAATAAATAAACTTAAAAAAATAAACTTTAACTTTAAATATTTTGCTCTCCATAAAAATATATCCTGTCACAATTATGCAAGTTAGAAATATGAACATGTTGCCAAAAACCCCAGAAAAAATAAATGAAAGCATACACAAGGTTGGAGCCGCATGTAGACGGAGCAAAGTCCGCTGACTTGGTTCAACATTACTTGGCAACAGGGAAAGTGAGGCAGGTTGCACTGCTGCATTTGTGACAGCTTCACTTGAAATGCCTTCACCGCATCATACATCATGTCCATGAACTGACAGATTTCCTTGCTGAGCTCAAAAACTCTATTGAGAACTTTTCCCTAACTCAGCCAACGGACCTCTGTATGATTAGGAATGTCGGCAAACTCTGAATCTATTTCCCACATAAAAGACTGAAATTGACGGTGATTTAAACTTTTAGCTCAGATAAAATTTACGGTTTGCGTTACGGTGATCATTACATGCTCCATTTTTAGGACTTTACCACACAGCGTTTCCTGGTGTGTGATGCAGTGATATGCTGTTAACTCACCGGTACAGTTCTCCTCCTGCATCTTTACTAGATCCTACATCCTGCACAACACCAGCAGCTCCATCTGTTGTCCCAGGGCAGTTTCATGTCGGTTACACTTTGACATACATTTAAAAAAAAATGTATTTTCCTGTCGCTGTCTCGTGCATCGATTTAATTTCCAATATTTACACTCCACGGATGAAGATGGTCAGCTGTGCAATGTTCATCATGTCTATACTTTCATCCACAGCAAGAGAGTATGCAATGACGTTTTTGCTTCTTTCACACAACTGTGTTCTTAAATCAGGCTCACATTTGCCAAAATCTGCATTTTGTCTGGACACAAGACATCGCACACCTTCATCATGCAGCTCTTCAGAGTGGTACTGGGCTGATTTGGCTATCT